TATAAACATGCTTGTTTGCTTTACAACAACTTTGTGGCAGGTATTACAAGCCTCATTATACCGGCCAAAAAAAGGCTCCAAAAGGTCACATGCTCGAGTTTGAAGCACCTGACAGTTGACTCATGAAACGGCGACAATCACCTGTGCTGTCTTCAAAGATCAGACACAGATTAATGGCACTGACACACACAATGCAGAGAGCCATGAGAACCACAGAGCGGTACCGTGCAACGTGTCAGGTTTTATTGACAATCCTATTGCTAAAGGAAAGCATGCATTTTAGCCCAATTACTTTGTAGTTTAAAACCTATTTTCTTAAAACAATGGCTTTTCAATATTAAAATGTGTCAAACAGGAGAGTTCAGATAAAAAAATGGAAGTAATATCAGAAATGCTTTTCAAGGAAGGGAGAATGCCTGGGGTGAAATAGTTTCTGTAATTTTGAACCTAAATGTTATCTCTAGATTTTAGCAGCTGGGATAGCAGAGCAAACACCAGCATGTGGCAATCACTGGTTGATGAAAGAAATTCAACAGGCTCATCTGGAGAAGAAAAACAGATGACCGAGTCTACCTGGAGGACTCGTGAAGGATAAGACTCTCTAAACCCGACTGCATGTGAAGTTCCCAGGTCCAGGAGCTCCTGGTGTCACCTCTGCACCTGCACCCTGCTCCACGGTGACAGTCTTTGCAAAGAGCCAGGGACAGGTGTCATCTGGCTGTCCCTCCCCATCACCACCTTCTTCAGTATCACTGAAGCGGCTGAGTGGAGGGTGAGCCCTGCCTGGTGTCTGATGTGTTCAGGCGTCAGGACCAGGAACACACTTGTGCCCAGAAGTGGCAACATTTACTCCAACAGAGGCACACAGCGCACTGTGCAACCGAAAAGGAGCTGCCCGAGCTAGTGACGTTCGTGACGCCAGGGCGTTCTCAGGACACCACGATGAGGACGTCCCCTCCTGCAGAGCAGGAAGCTGAGGAACAAAGAGGCCCTGAAACTTGCCAAGGGCACCCAGCTGGTGGGCCCTGACCTCTGAGTCCAGACTGCAGGGTTTACCTGCACGGGCCCCATGGGGAGGGAGGCTCTGTTCCATGGGCGGGTGGGGGGGGGCAGGGAGAGCTCTCTGCATGAGAGGGGGCAGGCCCAAGGGTGGGGCCTGCTATGTGCGGGGACTACCCTTGAGGACTGTCCGGCCACGTAGGGCCGGGAAACTGGCAGGCAGGGAAGCGAGGCCACATCACAATCCCTGACCAGAGGAGCAGCGCAGGGTCTCCATCGTCGTCTTCACCATCATCGACTTGGTGAAGAAAACAAAACAGCACTCATTCTCATAACACTATAAGAGAACGTGAAGATTCAGGGAGGAATGCTCTCAGCACCAAGACCAGTCCTGTAACTTCAATGCATTTTTTTTTTTTTTAATCAGCACAATGTCCTATTTTTTTCAGGCTGCAGGCAGGGGAATCGCATCACAAGCTGGTCCTGGACTTGGAGTCTGAGCCCACTGCTGGGAGCGGGACAGGGTGCGGGCAGGTTTGTTAACAGTAGGTTATTGTTACAAGCTGAACCATGACCCCCGAACCTCAGGACGTGATATACTTGGAGGGACCTTTGAAGAGGGATCCAGGGAAAGAAGCCTGTCGGGGGTGGGTTCCGGTCCAGTCGGACGGCGTCCTCACAAGCAGAGGGGCTCTGACACACTACCATGTGGCCGACCCCGGAGGGCACTGCCTGTAGGAGCCAGGCCTCCGAGGAGCCTCCCCGCCCGCGCCTCGACTTCAGTGTCCAGCCCCAGGAATAGAGGACGCGGCGGCTCGGACACTCAGCCGCACACCCAGGTGTCTGAGTCTGTTCAGACCGCTGTAGTGATGCCACAGTCGTCGCTGTCTCTCAGAGCTGGAGTGGACGTCTGAGGCCCGGAACCCAGCAGGTCCAGTGTCTGCTGAGGCCCTTCAGAGGTCCTCACGTGGGGGAAGGGCTGGGCTCCGTGGGGCCTCTGCCATCGCGGCACAGATCCCATCACAGGGATCCCATCACCCTCACGACCGCTCACCTCTCCCCTTCAAAGGGCCCCTCCCAACACCACCCCACTGGAGTTTCGTTTCAACCTGTGAATTTGGGGACAACGTGGCATTTTGTCATGACAGCCCTCACAAACTAAGGTGGTTATCTCATAAAATAAATGGGCGTGCAGTCTTGACCAGAGGACAGTGGGTTCCCTGAGGCTACTGACTCCATCAGACACACCATAAGCATCACTAATGCTTCCTCTTGCCCTGTAGCACCCGACATCCCTCTGCACGGACACCCAGCTCAGCGAAGGTGGACGGACATCAGAGATCATGCGTTGTGTTTATGAAGATGTGCAGCTTGGCCAGGTCTTTGGGAGCAGAAGGGCTAACTCGCAGGTCCTAACTCCATGGATGCCAGAGAAAGGACCACAGCGACACTCTTGGGAGGTGGCCTGAGAGCCCTTGGGGTGTCCCATCTGCCTGCTCAGCGTATCTTTACAAACCCGGGGCCGCGGGCCATGCCAGACACTGTGTTGCCAGGTGCCCCGTGACTGACTCCCGGGAGCCCCGCACACAGGCCTGGTGTGTCGTCGTGAGCTGAGCCCCCGAGGACCACCTCGCATGGCTGTGGGAGGGCCGTCTGGCCCCATGCGCTGTTCTGCTCTCTCGCGGCCTCCGCCCCGTGCCCGGGTCTCGGCGGTCAGCCTTGTGCTGTGACAAACCATAACTACCTCCCACCACAGCAGAGCCTAAGGGTGGTCGTGGAGACCCAGTGGGGGAGAGCAGACTATCAGCCACTAAGAACTGGCTAATGTGTATGTCTCAGTTCAAAGAAATGTGAGAAACAAGTAGAAAAAGGAACGTGTCAAGCACAGGTCTCTCCCCAGCACCCACCCTGTGTTAGCGCAGCGGCCACCTACCCTTCAAAGGAGGGGGAGCAGCTGGACCCCCGGCACCAGCCTCAGCGTTTCGGTTTCGCAGCCTGGGCTGAACACGTGGGGAGCGGAAGAGCCAGGCTGGGGTTTTAAAGCAGCACTTCAGCTCAGGCGATGGGGAGAAATGCCAAACGCGGCTCACAGGACTCCACTGGCATTTCCACAAACCGCAGATCCTACAAGCTGCTTAATTTTCACTCTGAAGTTCTGTTTAGTCACTTCCATTAATGTTAAGGGTGGTGTAGAAAGGTGGAGATGGGAAATCTTGTCAACTGTGGGCACTCGCCAAAAATCCTAGTGTAAATCCATTTATCCACTGGTCTATGTCAGGATTCTAACATGAAACACGCAAGCTCATTTGACAAAGACAGAACAAAAACAACACCTGCACAGAAAGACCTTGTAAATTCAGTTTCTTTTAGGAGCCCATGAGTTTCACTCATTTGTACCCAGAAAAATCCCAGTCCCGGTGGCGTGGTCATCCAGTTGCCGTTTCTGATTTCAAGCAAGAATGTCCTCTAGACAAGAATCGTGTGTCTGGGGAGTCCCACATGCTGGCTTGAGACACGTCCAGCTGACGTGGTGACCGCTGCTGTGGTCAGAGCCTCTGGGCCCCGACGTGGCGAGCTCATCCAGGACCTGAACTCACCCACAGTCACCACGCTGGACGGTCACCTCGGGCTCGCCCGTGCCGCACCCCTGGGGCTCTGCTCCTGACACCATCTCCTCCTCGGCTCCCCTGGCCCCCGACCCCATCTACCCTCTGCTTCTACATGTCAGACGGTCTTACAGTTCACGGCTAAGTGAGACCATGTGGTTTTTTTCTTCATGTGTCTGGTTTATCTCACTGGGCCCAATGCCCTTGAGGTCCATCCACATTGCTGGGAATGGCAGGGTCGCCTTCCTTTTCATGGCTGAATAGTGCCCCCGTGTATGCCCAGGTGTTGTGCGTTCCTTATCCACGCACCCGTCCACAGACACGGGGGCTGTGCCCCATCCTGGGCTCCATTGTGAATGCGCTCGAGTGAGCACGCTTCAGTGAGCACACGGTGGTGTAACATCCCGTGTCCACACAGAGCAGAGAGGAGTCCCCACCTGAAGCCAGCTCAGTCCCCAGAGGGAGGGCCGGGGGCAGGGGCAGCCCTGGAGAGCAGGGACGGGGAGCCGGCCAACACCAGCCCCTCTCGCCGGAGCCAGTTCCTGTCTGATCACAGCCCGCCTCCTGGCTCACCTTCACCCGGTGACTCCTGCTCAAGGGGCGTGCAACTGGGGCCACCGCGGTGCAGTGGGGAGTGGTCTCGCCCGTTTCTGTCCGGCACAGACATAGGGCCGGGGTCATCAGGAGAAAGTGGAGGGAGGGTGAGCATGGAGACGTGGCCGCCCTGTGAGCTGGGGCAACGAGCAGTGAGGCTGGAGACACAGGAGCACAGACCCGAGGAGGACGCCGGGCACTGGCCCCAGCGGGAAAGGGCGCGTTTGTGTCTCAGATACGTTTCACTGATTGACTGAAAAGCAGGGTGAAAACGCACTTAAGGGGGAAATACAGTGTGGACTTTGGAGTCTCAAGGAAGGCTGGGGAGAGTGGATAGTGAGGGAGCGGGGTAGGACGCTGGACTTCAGAGACCGTGGCGACCACAGGAAACAGATAAAATGTACCCCAGTGGCATTTCCACCACAGGGGTCTGCTGTAAGGAGCAGATGCCTGTGCTTCTCGTCTGCAGAGAGATGCCCACTGCGGGAGTGTGTGTGCAGAGGGTCTGGGTGCAGGAGCTCGGGAGAGGGTCATCTCCCCTGACATCCTTGCCCGGACCCCACCTGTCAGACACAGGTTGTATGAATGGTTAAGGGCTGCTGAGCACCAGCCCAGCGTCATGTCCACACGTCCAGACCTTGGGCAGGGAGGTGACGGGGCAGAGTTACAGGCCACCACTGTGGGCCCCACTCACCACTGGTGGTGCTGGGAATCCACTGGGTCGACTGGAAGAATACGCAAGGCTGGACTCCAGTTGACTTGAGTCTCTGAGCCCCTCACAGCCTGGCTGTGCCCCTGCAGGCCTGCTCCTTGGGGCCACTGCCCAGCCTGTCGCCTGTGTGGACCACATGGCTTCTAGCAGATGCTGGGGACGCCTGTGAGACGCCAGGCCCAGCCGGACGAGCAGAGCGGAGGATGGTTCACTGGGCCGGTGAACTCCAGCTCACCCGGGACACGAGGCCCGGGATCTTGCCCTGGTGGACGTCACCCGGGAGGTCTCGCAGGGACTGGACAGCCCACGGCGCTGTCGTCTATGAGAGCCCGAGAGAGCGCACAGAAGGGGCGCTTGTGCGGGTCAGCGATGTTCCAGCCCTGCCCACCTTGGGTCCTTCCTGGGCCCTGGGACTCGGGCGGCACTGGGTGAAGAAGGACTGACTCCACGTTCTGTGAGGGCGCCAGGGAGGAGGCATTTACGATGATGCTGCTCAGTAACCATTTGGCAACAAGGTACTCCTGCCTAAGACCTCTCCAAGGAAACTAAATATCCTATAAAAACGAAAATGTGCCAGAAGAATTAAATACAGCTCTCCTGGAAAATCCTGGTGGATGTAAAAAAAAAAAATGCAATTTTTAAAACACAAAGCAAACTGTCTGAAGCTGTGTTCCGCACGCAGCCCTGGGAGTGATGATGGGGTCAGAGCGGTGGGCGCGGGGGCAGCCCCGCCACCCTGCACACGGGGAACACGGCGCCTGCGCAGTCCCTGAGAACATGCACGCTGCGTGCAGGGCACGGGCCCAGGGCAAGGCAGAGAGGTCTGACTTCTAATCTATCAGGGCGTCTGCAGAACGCCGACCAGAGTGCTGAGACTGCCCTCCACACACTCTCAGGGCAGCTGTGCCGACGGACGCTGGGGAGGAGGGCTGCTCGGAGCTCAGGCCTGTGGCTGCGCCCCTTGCAGCAGGTCCCGCGACCTCCCCAAGGCTCAGGGTCCTCATCACTCAGTAAGGGTGTGGTGCTACCTGCCAAGAGGGACAGAACCTTAAATGGGAAGACGTGGTGAGGCCCCTGCTCGTGTCCACCTCAGTGAGGGGACAAGCTGGAGGTGACCATGTTCTCACTGGGCTTGGTTCCTTGGAGGAGCCTCCCTGTGGCCACTGACTCTGTCCCCAGGGGCCCTTACACAGCTTACGTCTGCTCCCATCATGACCTCTGTGCTCCTGGATGTGCACCCCAGGTGACCCCCAGCCCATGCAGTCTCTGGGCTCCCAGAGCGGGCAGGCAGAGGGGCAGCACGGGGAGCCACTGTGCACTTCTCTCTAAGCCTGCCGGCGCCTCCACACTGGGGCTCCGGGTGGCCAGGAACAGCTAGGCCGGGGCTGCCGCTACAGGGGGCAGGGGTAGGAGGTTGCTGTGGGAAAACACCGTGGCAGCCAAACCACAAGCTGCAGGCCCCACAGTCTTTCGGGGTGGGGGGTGGGGGCAGACGGGGGTGGGGTGTCTGCATACGAACTGGGAGCAGCATGCTTGATCCTATGGGTGCATTTAAGGAAGAGTAAGTGGACAGTGACGTATGACCGAGAAGCCTGCCTCCACAAGTGCATGTGAATAGACTGCACTTGAGCTCCTGAAAGTCTGCGCTGCCCAGTGCAGTGTTTGCAGGTGTTGTCAGGCAGGAGACGAAGGACCACCAGCCCAGGTGGGATTCGAGGCCCACAAGTGTCCGCTGCCAGCCTGCCACCCCTGACCGCCATGGCCTTTGGCTCAGGAGACTCAGGTTTGCGGTTGGAAAGCTGTTACTGTTCACTGCTGTCAACTTCTTTGCTCTTAACTCAGTGGCTTGTAGGCAGCTGGACAGAATTTCTGGAACAGTACTAAGGAGCAGTCTGGCCCAGCTTTGCAGACACTCCTGCCCACTCCTTAATATGGACTGCAAGGAGCCTCAGAGGGTGTTCTGGTGGCCAGGTGCCCCCAGGCATGTCCTGGATCCCTGAGGGAAGCGCCCCGTGCCTCAGTGACACCCTCCCCTGGCAGAGCCCACAGCCTTGTGGGTCGGGTGGCTAGAGTCCGGGTGGGGCGGGGGAGAAGAAGCCCAGACCCTGCTTTTCTGTGCCCCCCGGCTGCCATCAGTCTGGGGCACAACCCACCTCCCTGCGCTGACCCCAGCTTTACATGGCGGCTGCAGGTGGGAATTGTCTGAAGCGGCGTCTACGCCGAGCCCCACGGACGCGGGCGCAGACGCTCCTCCCCCGAATGAGGGGGGAGCTCGGGGACCGAGGCCTGCATTTCTGGTTGCACAGCCTCGCTGCTGCAGCTACAACCACATGGCACAGGCTCCGCTAGGTTCTGTGACGCAGGGTCCTGTGGGCGACACGAACCTGCCTGCAAAGACACTTTGGAGACGTGAGGCCCCCGTTCAGGTGTGTCTTCAGGGAGGGCCCGGGGTGGGGGCAGGGCCTGAGGGCTCTGGGCCCAGGCCTGCATCCTGAGGGATGCTGTCATGCAGGCGCCCGGCGGGGCAGGGGGCTGGTGGGGCTGCATCACGGGACGCCGGTCGGCTCTGAGCTGCTAAGAACACCCACAGGAGGCATAGGGGAGGCCCGCTGCTCCCCATGAGCCTGAGCCCCACGAGGACGGGGCCATGGCTGCTCCGCCGTGTCCTCAGGACCTCAGGGGATGCGTCTGACAGTGGTGGGATCAGCAGTGGGAGGAAAGTGCTCATGGAGGCCTGGTGCATGGGGGTCAATCGGGAACCTGCCTGCTCTTCGTGCAGAAGCTCAGGCCGGGGCAAGGACCACTGTCCCTTCAGCCGCGGGAGTCCTTGTGAGACCACGTCACCCGCCAAGCAGTGGATGCTTGTCCTTTACCTAAACTCTCAGCCTCTGGTTGAAACGCCCACAGCGAGGGCACCAGGAAGAATAAAGAAAATGACAGCGTCAGCGGCCCTTCTGGAAACCCTGTGCTTGCAAAGTGACTCTGGGGTGAAGACAACTGGAAATCCAGATGATTGCTGTCACATGACCTTGTTATGTTTAAAAATACCCTCGCCATCTGCACAGAGATAAACTGATCACTCAGTCTCTCCTTGAGCTGTGGCCACTGCCCACTCCCCAGTGCAGCCACGTCCAGAGCTGGGCGCCCTACCCAGTCCCCCAGGCAGGACATGTGTGGGTGTGGGGGCAGACAAGCTTGATGTCCCCCAGCCCCAGGACAACTGTCCACTCCCCGGGGACATCACGCAGGATGTCCCAGGTTTCCTCCACGACACCTGGGACCCTCGAGTCAGGACTGGGCTCCACCCCCTCCGCGCCCCCATCCTCTTCCAGAGCTGCAGGGGAGAGTCTGCCTTCAACAGGTGGCTCTGGGACGCTCGGCACTGTAACCAAGGCCTCTGAACAATGATGAACACTGAGCCGCTCACAGAAACATGTGGACCCCAGGAATGGGGGTGGGGATCACCACCCAGCACACACTCCAGGGGCCGGGTCAGGAGGAGGGACCCCAGGAATGGGGGTGGGGATCACTGCCCAGCACACAGTCCAGGGGCCAGGTCAGGAGAAGGGACCCCAGGAATGGGGGTGGGGGATCACCGCCCAGCACACACTCCAGGGGCCGGGTCAGGAGGAGGGACCCCAGGAATGGGGGTGGGGATCACTGCCCAGCACACAGTCCAGGGGCCGGGTCAGGAGGAGGGACCCCAGGAATGGGGGTGGGGATCACCGCCCAGCACACACTCCAGGGGCCGGGTCAGGAGGAGGGACCAGGGTCTGAATTCTCCTGCGAGTCTGTCACCCTGTGCCCTCGGGTAGGTTCCAGCTTCTCCGACTCCCGTCTCTTCACGGTGCAATCTGGAGGGTTGAGCACGTTTTTGGAGGCTGAACGTTTGGTGTGCCATCAGGTCTCAGGAGAAACAGAGCAGGCTGGCTGTTTGCCACAACCTGGGGTGGCGGCCCACACGGGGAGGGGTCTGGGGGGCTCATCCTGCCTCGGGCATGTGTCCCGGACCCCCAGAAGTGCAGCCCGTGGCCGGAGGGGTGCACAGGCCAGCCCCTAGGAGCCTTGATACAGTTTTCATGAGAGTTGCGTGCATCCCCCCACCTCCTTCAGTGATCTTCACTTTTCTCTGCAGGTGAACGGCAATGTCCCAAGATTCAGGCCGTGGCAGCCTTCCTGCCTCATCATTTCTGAAGTCACGAGCTGCTCCGCCTTCAGTGCTGCCCCTCCCCACCCAAGCATCTCGGGGAAGGTGGCCCCACCCCATCCCATCGTCCTGGACCCACGGGGCCTGCCCCCGGTCCTGCCAGGACACACTGCTGGCTCAGACTCAGATGGCAGTGCCTGCAATGGCTTCTGATTCTATATGTTTTTGTCTCTTGTTCCCAAGCAACTTCACTGAGTTCAACCAATTTAATAAAAAATAAAATTTCCATGTATTCTCAAAGCTGATTTTAACATTTCCTCTTCTTTATATTCCAGCCCAGCTGACTGCGTGCTCTTTTTAGGAAAAAACAATAGCTGACAAAGCTGGTGTAACCAACCTATAAAAGCGTGTGCACACTTGATGCACACGGTCTGATGAGTCTGGACGTGTCGACCGCCCGTGACACCACCGTCAACAGCACCCCTAGTGTCCCTGGTGTCCTTGGCTTGCTCTGTGGCCGAGCTCTCCCAAAGCCTGACCCAGTGACACAGCTCCAGGCTCAGTTCCCTGCACCTGCAGCTCCCAAGGGTGCCCGTGTCCACCGACGGTGCCCGGGCTTGGCCCCTGTGTCCAGAGCTGGGGTTTCGGGTCAGGGGCCCAGGGGTGGCAGGGACGTGGGGAGAGCTCGAGGGGCTCGCAGGTGGGCGGGGTCAGGGAGGCGAGGGAGCAGGCAGCTAGGGAAGGCTTGGGGGACGCCATCTAGAATAACAGGCGCCCAGAACACAGGGCATCACCTGGCACCGACACTGAGCCCTGTGCACGTGCTGGGCTGGAGGCGGTAGAGCCTCCCTCCCCACCCCGCCAATTCTCTGCACCCCTGCAACGTGCCCAGGCTGGTGGGGGAGCCTGCACCTTCCGTGACAGGTTTTCTCGTCAGGGACCTGGGCTCTCAGAAGGTAGAAGACCGGCTCTTGCAGGAGGCCATGCTGCAGGAGAGGCAGTGGAGGGAAGTGCTGCAGCTGACAGCACCCAGGCCGGCGGGCGCTGCTTCCGGGCACAGACGTCCTGGGAAGGCGCACCGCTGGCTCCTGGGAGCACCAGAGACGCCTGCCTCCCCGAGTCCCTGACTCGCACTGCTCACCGCCTGGGCACCGGCTGCCCCGCATCCACTGCAGCCTCACTTGTGGCCTTGTCCTGGAGCCGATTTTATGCTTGGCTGTTAACAGTCAGTGGGAGCTGCCCCTGCAGCCATGAACGGTCCTGAGCTGCTCAGGGAGATGTGGGGGCCTGGGCTCTGGGGGGAGCGCAGATCGGGCTCCAGGCTGGCAGAGCCTGGAGGGCAAGGGCACCCCAGTGATGGAGCTGTTCGGAGCATGAGGCTGGGAGGGAAGGGACGTGCGCACGTGTCCTTTGCAGGGTGGACACACAGGGAGACACACACACTACTACACAGGTACACGATTACACGCACCCTACGTTACACCGAGACGCTGGGCAGCTGGGGGAGGCTGGCAGTGTGTGGGCATGAGGAGGAGGTTTCAGGATGCTCTGTCCTGGTTGCCTGCACGCCCCCGCCCAGCTCTCCAGCCAACAAGCTCCGTGTCCACACTCTGTCCGCCCTCAGGGATCTCGGAGGTGACGAGGGACCCGGCTAGGAGGCAGGTGTCCCATGAGATGGGTGTGGCCTGAGAACGGACACACCCCAGACACCGCCTTGTCTCAACTTGCCTGTGGATAAACCTGCTTACAGACCCCTGAGGGGCCGACGGGGGCCTGAATGCCAGGAGTTGAGAGCAGAGCAAGCACACATCTCCAGTGTCAGGACCCTGTGGAAAATTCAGTCATTTCCCAAGGTGGAGAAGATGTTACTACAGGCGTCATTTACCCAAGACGATGTCAGAGAAATACCACCCAGAGCACAGCGCACACAGGTCCTGCCGTCGAGGACGAGGAGAGGAGAGCAAGGACTGAATACAGGAAGAGCTCACGGAAAATGTCCCCAGGAAGGCCTCCAGGAAGGAGGGGCTGGGAGTGTGCTGATCCCCTTCACAGCTTCCGGGAGGGAGGGACGGCAGGTTTACACGTGTGAGAGGGTGTGAACAGAGGTCAGGCTGCGGGGGAGCAGGGCAGGTTCAGAGAGAGGGCAGGGCACCCACTGAAAGCAGTGACCTCGGGAAACGATTCTACGTCATCTCAGCCCGGGGACACTGTGCTGGGGACCCACAACCCTCTCTAAAGCACGAACACACCCCTGGTATGTCGCCCATTGGGTGCTGTTTTCACCTGTGGGTTGTGAATTAAGCCTTTGCACCAGTCCCACCATACTCCATGATGGTCCCCGAATTATCAACAAACAGAAGCGCGTCGGCCGTCAGCCTCTGAGCGGAGGACCAGCTGCTCAACACAGTCCTCAGGGCCGGGCTCACGTCAGGACACGTGGCCCTGGTCAGCACCTGGCCGCACTCGCCCTGGACCCACACTGCCGACGACACCCTGATCCCAGCCAGCGACGCCCGCCGGAGACAGGTCAGCCCGCAGACCAACCTCGGCCACCAGCGGCCGACCACACTGCGCACGAGCAAGTGACATGGGGTCCAGTCACTCTAAGGGAGCCTGTCCTGACGAGTCCTGGCCACAGAGGCGCCCTGCAGCCTGGCCCGCCCCCGCCCCACCTGGCTGCCACCCGTGGGGTGGCAGAGCCTGGGCCCCGGATGGCTGCTGGTGGGGGCGCGCCCCTCCCCACCCGGAGCTCCAGCAGCTGGACTGTGAGTGCCAACTGCGTTCTGTTCTCTAAAGGTGCTGATCCTGAGGTGGAGCTCCCAGCAAAGTTTTCCAGAGGCGAGGTTTCCCTCTCATGAAGGGGGGATGCAGCTGGAGGGTTCTGGACACTGGAATAAGGAAGGTCACCCGGCTTGTGTAAATGTGTCCCTGGCCCCGTCCTCTGCTGCTTTTATTGACTCCCCTGAAAAGATTTAAAATGTCCAAGAACATCAATTTCAACTTCTTTGGAGCATGTTTCACAGCCTGTAGGTTGGTGAGAACTGAATGAATCAGGGGCTAAGAAACTCAGTGATAAGACAAGGGTGGCAGCAAATAATGATTTGGGCATAAACAGAGTCCAGGTTTGATGTGGCACATCAGGAAGAAAACAGGCCCACTGCTCCTCAGAAACAAAATAGCAGCCTGTGAGTGTACCAGTGAGGAGACACAAATTGATTCCAACGATCTGAAAACGAGTTCCATGATCTCTCATTTTTTATTTAAAGCTGGCATTTCACTGTGTGAGGACAAAAGGTAAAATTCATGCTGATAATTAAAAGTTAAAGTTAAAAATTTTCTTCACTTGTTTTTGTTGTTCAGTAGCTAAATCATGTCTGATTCTTTGTAACTCAGCACTTCAGGCTTCCCTGTCCTTCACCATCTTCCAGAGTTTGCTCAAACTCATGTCAGCTCTTTGCATCAGGTGGCCAAAGTATTGGAGCTTCAGCTGCAGCATCAGTCCTTCCAATGAATATTCAGTGTTTATTTCCTTGAGGATTGACTGGTTTGATCTCCCTGCTGTCCAAGGGACTTTCAAGAGTCTTCTCCAATACTACATTTTGAAAGCATCAATTCTTTGGTGCTCAGGCTTCTTTATGATCCAACTCTCACATCCATACATGACTACTGGAAAAACCACAGCTTTGACTATACAGACTTTTGTCAGGAAAGTGATGTCTCTGCTTTTTAATATGCTGTCTAGATTTGTCATAGCTTTCCTTCCAAAAAGCAAGCATCATTTAATTTTGTGGCTGCAGTTACTGTCTACAGTGATTTTGGAGCCCCCCAAAATCTGTTATTACTTCCACTTTTTCCCCTTCTATTTGCTGTAAGGTGATGGGACTGGATGCCATGATCTTAGTTTTTTGAATGCTGAGTTTTAAACCAGGTTTTTCACTCTCCTCTTTCACCCTCATCAAGAGGCTCTTCATTTCCTCTTCACTTTCTGCCATTAAAGTGATATCATCTGCCTATCTGAGGCTATTGATATTTCTTCCTGCCATCTTGATTCCAGCTTGTGATTCATCCAATCTGGCATTTTGTATGATGTACTCTGTATTTTTACTTATGATGACATAAATATGCAAGTAAACAATTTGCTGACAATTCAGGTGACTGGGAAAAAGGCAAAGCTGGGTGCCTCAGTACTTTTACGGGGACTCTTTCATGCTTATTAAACAAGTGGCCCTGCCCAGGGCCTGCGCACAAGGAGGGCAGATGTTCATGCTCTCAGGGGTCTTGGTGCTCACTGGGGAAGACGACGACGAACTTGAACTTAAGCAGTGAAAAGCCACAGGAAATGGCAGGTAGGGTGTCCGTGGTGGAACCTGAGCTGAGTCTATGGGGGATCCTTGGGGAAAGCTCAAAGAAAGGCCATAACTCTACATTTTAATATTTCTCAAGAAAACACCTCTCAGTTTGGGACTTTTTGTTAGCATATATACCCACCAAGGTTGCTATATGCTTTCTAGATGACACATGCCCACCTGCTACAGGGACAGTGAAGAAGCCTCCACTCGGGGCTGCTCTGTTCAGGACATTCTACGCTCATGTGTCTTCCTGGTCCATTTAGGGAGAGGTCCCCGCCATACTCCAAAGATAGAAAAGAAAATGGCAATAAGGTTTTAATCTGGGCTGAGCTAGTAGTTTATGCACATGAAGTCTGCACAAAGATAAGTTTGCCAAGCTCCCCAAATCCTGAAATGACAAAAAATGATGAAATCTCCCTTAAATGACAGAGCATGCTGGCATTTCCCTGCGGTGCCCAGCTACAGTGTTGCAGGGCTGGCTCCAAGGAGAGGAGGAGAATGCCCAGCCTTAGGTGAAATCCGGGTTCAGGCTGGGTTTGATCTGGAAGCTGTGTGGTCACTGCCAAGACCTGAGACCATTCACGCTCCTGCTCTCTGCAGAGAGGGAGCAGGCCAGCCCCTCAAGCCGGGGGCTGCCAGGAAACGTTTTGTTTTAGGTGTTACAGCACAGTGCCTACCTCTCTCTTCACTGGTATTTTAGGAAAGACAGAAAAAAAAAAATGTACCTACTCGAGTGTCTTGTACATATTGAAAGTGAAAGACACTCAGTCATGTCCAACTCTTTGTGACTCCATGGACTATACAGTCCATGGGATTCTCCAGGCCAGAATACTGGAGTGGGCAGCCTTTCCCTTTCCCAGGGGATCTTCCCAACCCAGGGATCAAACCTGGGTCTCCCACATTGCAGGAGGATTCTTTACCAGGGGAAGTGAAGTTGCATGTGTGCTGAGTTGCTTCAGTGGTGTCCAACTCTTTGTGATCCTGTGGACTGTAGCCGCCAGGCTTCTCCGTCCATGGGCTTCTCCTGGCAAGAACGGGTTCCCATGAAGTGGGTTGCCATGTCCTTCTCTGTTGTACATATTAATTCTCGATGATTATAGCATTGATAAGAGGCTAAAAACAATGTAGCTAAGCAAAGAGGTATTAATCCCCATCAAGAGGAATTTTTGAAAGAATAACACTATTTGTTCCCCATGTTATAAAACTAAAAAAGAAAACTTCGATGGAAAATGGATATAATATTGTGCCTTAAATAATTTTACATCTGGAGCAATGTTAATGCCTTAAAGTGACATTAGAAGAAAGTGCTTGGCATACTTACTACAACATGCAGAATGAATGCCAAGGCATAACTATAGACCACACTGGGGACACAGAATCACATTTGGTTTTAGAAGGGCAACTGTAAGAACAACCCGATTCTCTCATCGTTTTGTAAAGTTCCCGCAGAGCTAAGTTCATGGTCAGTGCAAACTAGCAGAGGACAGTCTATGACACAGTCTCTGAGGAAAAGGGTCTGCCACTCCACTGAAACTCTGATGTTGTGGTATTACAAGTGTCCATCTGTTGTTATGGGGCCCAGACAGCAGTTGTCCTGATTTGGAGAAGGTTAAATGAGGCTCTACGGCAGTGTAACACAGACTGCGTTCACTCCGTGTCCTCATGGCCCTTCCTGTCTGACGAAGTCGGAGCTCCCACGTGGCCCTGAGGCCATGTCCAGCTCTCCTGCGGGGGTGATGAGACGTCCGCCTGGGCAGAACCAACCCACGTAAACACCTGGCAAGTTCTCCACTCAACTCCTCATCCCATGGGGTAACAACTGGGCTTTCTGGAAGGAGGCAGAGTATCCCCAGCAGCCGTGAGATACATACCCGCATGATCAGGGCGGAAATGCGTACAATCAAAAGCTGCCTCAGGTTTCCGGTCAGCAACTTCGTCGCTGGGCAGAGGCAGGAGGCTGGGTTTCACAGACAGGTTTGTGAATATTCCAGAAAACAGTGCCGTAAACACAGCCGGTAACTACAGGATAGCATCTCTGCCCTACAGGTAAGTGGTGACAGGATGGAGCCATGCTCTCCATGTGGAGAGCTGTGAGCACCAGACTTATAAAGTGGGCACTGGTTGAACCCTCACCAGGGAAGAGGCTGTGTGAACACTGCTGCTGTGTTTAGGTGCTCGGCTGCGTCCAAGCCTTGTGACCCCATGGACTGTACTCGCCAGGCTCCTCTGTCCATGGGGTTCTCCCGGCAAGAACGCTGGAGTGGCTGCCATGCCCTCCTCCAGGGGATCTTCCCAACCCAGGGATCAAATCTATGTCTCCTGCACTGCAGGCAGATTCTTTACGGCTGAGTCATTAGAAATAAAACTAAAAGACCCCCTACTTTCAATGAGTTCACAGTCCACGAAGTGAGATAGACATGAAAAGTAACAGTAAATACACTTATTATTATGCATTCTGACAAAGGAAATAGCATGTGTATCTGTTTGATGACAGTTAAAGAGGGAGCGATGAACTCAGCTTATCATAGTGACATGTGATTCCCACGTTCAGTGAAGAAGAGGCGTCTGCCATGGCAGAAGGTGTGGGAAGACATGAAGGAACAGGGTGAGCTGGGCCCCGGTGCACGCGGCTCCCTGGACATTTACTGTGAAGCATCCCGACATGCCTCAGTTGCATTTGTCCTGGCGAAGAATGTATATTTTAAGTCTGGCATGCCAATGTTTTTCATTATGCTTGGCTTTTAACTGGAATTCTATTTTACAAAATAGGAAATATTCTAAGTTCCTGTTAAATTATGTACATCTAAAATATCTACTGGCTGTAAATGGATTAAAAATTCAAGGCTCCCCCAGTATTAGTCGGGTGCCTGTCACTAGTTGCGGTTAGTGACAAGGCCTCTGCCGCCCTGGAGGCTGTCTCCAGAGGGAGGCCCTCAGAGGCAGGGCCGTCACGCGTTCCACTTCACAGAGCTACAGTGCAGTTTGCTAAATTTTATGCCGTGAAATAAAATTGAAATGCCTGCATTTATTGTGTTCATTTGCGAGTTAGTTTGGAAACTAAAGAATGGGTCTAAGAAAACTGACTCTATAAATTGGAAAAAAAAAAAAAAGGAGCTCCTACTCACCAGAACCAAGCAATTATAGAGTACAACTAACCATGTTTTTTCTCTCCCCAAATTCTGAGAACACTGAATTTTAGATTTTACAGACCAGGGAACA